TTGGCCACCTGAGCACCACCAGTAAGGGGAAGAAGAAAGGAAGGAAGAAAAGGAGGCAGGGGGTGGAGGATAAGAAGAAAGAGGGAGAGGAAGAAAGAGAGAGACAGAGAGACAGAGAGAGAGACAGAGAGAGAGAGGAAGAGAGAGAGAGAGAGAAAGAGAACTGAGACAGGATGAGAGTATACTTGTTTGAGGAAAACTCTCAATGGACCAGTGCCAGACCGAGAAATAGTTGGGAACTCTAAGACTATAGAAGCCAGGGTAAAGACATGCATAATGGAGAAGCAAAACAAGAACTTGTCTTAAAGTCTGCAGGCTACTTGTGAATGTGGATCCTTAGTACTTTGTTGCTTCTTTGGCTATTTGCCTGCTTGTTTATTTTGTTTTGTTTTTGGTATCAGAACCTTGAGGCATTTATGTACTTGAGCCACAATAGCATTCAAACCCCTCATAACTGCCTCCTTGTTTCATCAATTAATTGGAAATAAAGTCTATGGAAAGTTAGTTACCAAGATTGGTATAGTAATCCTAAAACTAGTTTCAGATATTGTAAACCTCAAATAAAATTCCTGATATAATTTAACTTATTGAAAGATTTACATAACCTGGATAATCTATCTTAGGAGGTGAGTGAATGACAAACACAAGAAAACTAAGCAAATGAAGACATCAAGACAACAGAGAACTACAGAGGAAATATGTCATGCAGAAAAGGCAAACAATCAGAGTGTGCTTCTTGACTTGCGTGCAGATGCTGTTGACACAGTCATACAAAAATAAATACCAAATATTGATCTTAAGAAGTGTATGACAAAACTGTATTGGAAGAATAGGCAGTCTGGGTAGGATTAGGCTTATGCACAAATATGATGGTGGTGTAGAGATGAAAGCAAATTAACTTGTCTTTCAAAGAGAAAGTCAACAGCTAACACTGAAACCTAGCTCTGTTGTGATAATTATATACTAATTTTCAATTGCACATCAACAACTACACCTAGAGAAATAGGAAATAAAGTCCAACTCTCTTTAAGATTTTGACTCTTTAAATATGCATATTTTGGGGGCTGGAGCAATAGCACAGCAGGTAGGGCGTCTGCCTTGCATGCGGCCGACCCTGGTTTGATTCCCAGCATCCCATATGGTCCCCTGAGCACCGCCAGGGATAATTCCTGAGTGCAGAGCCAGGAATAACCCCTGTGCATGGCCAGGTGTAACGCAAAAAGCAAAAAAAAAAAAAAAAAGGCATATTTTCATCTAAATAAAAGTAAAAAATTAAAAATAATATAATAAATGGTTTCCTTAAAAGGTTCAAGAAAGTATGAATTGGCAGAAAGAAAAGTATTATCATGTTATATAAATGGACGCTTGTGATTTGGGAGAAAATTTCATTGACATTATCTTACTGGATTGCAGAAGTTATATGTATAAAAAAAAAAAACCATAACAGTGATTTCTAAAAAAAACTTATAGGCAACTCAGAAACTGCAGCTCTTATAGGGAAAGCACTAAATCAGAGATTTTGATTTGCTCAAGCAGGCCCAGTAACGTCTTCATTGTGAGACTTCTTGTTACTCTATTTGGCATATCGAATATGTCACGGGTAGCTTGCCAGGCTTTGCTGTGCGGGTGAGATATTCTCGGTAGCTTGCCGGGCTCTCCAAGAGGGGCAGAGGAATCAAACCTGGGCTGATTTGGTCGGCCGCGTGCAAGGCAAACACCTTACCCACTGTGCTATCGCTCCAGCCCAAATCAGAGATACAAGAAAAAAAATTGAATTAAAATTATTTTATAAAGAATACATGTGGAGAAACAGCATTTAAAGTTGAATATGTAAAATGAGATTTTACATCACTTTTTTGTCATACTTTCCATTTTTTAACTCTTGACAGATTTATATTATGATTCCAAGAGATTGTGACTGTTGCTCTTTTTCAAAATTCACTCCATTTTTGTTGCTCTTCTTTTCTGAGCTACCCTCTTGACCCATTTAGTAGTGGAACCTCCCCCAGTAGGAGGTGTATATATGATCTTCCCACTCGGAATCACTTTGCTGAAGAGAGAAAACAATTTCATGCCTAAGGTCCTCATGAGATTTAGCCAGCCCTGCATCTCCTTTTCACCTTGTTACTCCTGGGCCAAGGTCCAGAGCAGAAGTGCATGGTCCCATCAGCACCGCCAGGAGTAATTTCTGAGTGCAGAGCCAGGAGTAACCACTCTGCATTGCCAGGTGTAACTTAAAAAGCAAAAAAAAAAAAAGAAGAAGAAAAAAGAAATGGTGGTGGGAAATGTATATACACTGATGAAGAGATGGGTGTTGGAACATTGTATGACTGAAACTCAATCATGAACAACTTTGTAGCTGTGTATCTCACTGTGATTCAATTTTAAAAAATAAATAATTAAATTAAAGTTTTAAAAGGGAAAATTAAAAAGAAATAAAAAAGAAAGAGGAAAAACCTAATACATGTGAGACTGGCCCTCACCTTAGACCATAAGCAGTTTTAACCATTATGCAAAGCTATATGTGCTTGTCCAAGAGATCATGCTGTTACTTCCCTCTGTTTCACAGATGACAGAGATGGCTTTGATTTAATTTGTAGCCTCCATTATTGTTTCATTGTAGATTATTTTAATGCAAGGTGGACATTTGGGGAAGGGTCTCATAAACAGTGCTCAGGAGACCCAGGGTCTGTCCCATACTTGGCTTGGCTGTGTGGACCTGACAGCTCAGTGTTCTGGCTGGTCCATGCTATTTGGCCCAGTATTCCTGGAAACCACCAGAGCCACACCTGGTAGTACTGAGGAATGAGGAGGGTGGGGGTCAGTGAAGTGTGAGAGGTGGAACTGGGTCCCTAGTACATACAATGCAGGCACTGCAGTCCTTTGAGCTTCTCCCCATCCCTAACATGGATTCTCTTTTTAATCAAGGAAATATTGAGTGTTCTGTGATGGCACAACAGCTTGGCAAAATATTGTGTAAATTCATTGGCAGATGCTAGTAAAGTTATACATGCTGGCAATAGCAACATTTTTATTTTTGTGCCCTATGCCCAGAACAATTTGGAGTTCTGAAATATGACATTAGTAAAAATGTGAGATGACTATATTTCTCTAGAGGAATTATTTCAACTCATTGAGTGGAGTTTTAAATTATGAACTAATTGCTAATTGTAGTGAATAGAATGTTTTGCATTCTTTGCTAGATGCTGAGAATAATGATCGAATGTAGCCATATTAACATTGATTCTGAACTAATTTAGATGGTGGCAAGGTATTCATATATTTGCATTCTCTTTTAGTGTTGTATTGAGATATTAAACCATCTGCTCTTATGCATAATCATTTTCCTGGAATTCAGATGGGATTATGGGATATGATATGGTTCTGTGATTGTTATAGGGTTATCAGACTGTTTATAATAAAAATCTTACATTAGGGGCCTTTTAATGATCTTTAAAAACAAATTACTCCAGGCCTCAGGTTAGAAAAACATGTCCTCTTGGAAGCATTTTGTTTTGTATAAATGTTGGTGTAGCATGGTATGGTGAAATATCAAATATCTATTCAGTGTGAACTTTCTAGGTATGGTGACTTTGTGTATTTGTAGGACTATAGTTCATTTCAGGATTAGCACCATGTCTGCTCATTACTTATTGCTTTTTATTCCCATCACATGGAAATATAACTAAGAAAGCCAAAAACTAACCCCTGCACTATAATAGTTTCCCAGCAAATTCAATAAACATATAATTTACATTTATGAATATGTTTAAAGTTATAAGTTGCCCCCAAAATGTACAACTACCAACAGTATTAAGTCCTTCCGTTGTTCATCGATTTGCTCGAGCGGGCCCAGTAACGTCTCTATTGTGAGACTTCTTGTTACTGTGTTTGGCATATCAAATATGCCACAGGTAGTTGCCAGGCTTTGCCGTGCGGGCAAGATACTCTCCACAGCTTGCCGGACTCTCTGAGCGGGGCAGAGGAATCGAATCCGGCTCGGCCATGACGGCCATGGACAAAACAAATGCCCTACCACTGTGCTATTCACAAACATTTACAGAGCATTCTAGAATTTGTGAGCAGTCCATGAATTTTGTGAGCAGGTTAACGCTTTTACTGTTTAGGAGCTGAAAGAGGTAGTATAGCAGGTAGGTTATTTGCCTACCATACAGCCAACCCAGATTTGATCCCTGGGTCTCTTATGGTCCCTCAAATGCCACCAGGAGTGATCCCAAAAGGAAGCAGAGTCAGGAGTAAGCCCTTAACACTGCAGAGTGTGGCCCCAAACCCAAAATAAATAAATAGAAAAAAATAGAACTTTTACAGTTTATCTAGCAAGGATTTTTTCAACAAAAGAACTCTAAAACAGTAGTTTTTTCCACTTTTCCACTCAGTGTAGTCATACATAGTACTACAGTGGTTTCTCTTCCTTGGACAGGAGTAAAGGAAGGGGAAGAAGAGGGTTGTGTAAAAATACCTAAGGAATAGGACTAGAGAGAGAGTACAGTGGGCTGGGTACTTGCCTTCCTCGCAGCTGACCCTGATTCAGTCTCCAGCACTGTAGATGGTCCTCTGAACTCCACAGGACTTATCCTAGAGCACAGGAGTAAGCTGGATGTGACCCATCCCCACCAAAAATAAATAAATAAATAAAAAAGTAATATCTAAGGGGTGCCCTGATGGCTTCTACTCATACTGGATTATCTGTCTTTTCTTCTTCCTCTCTAGAATCACTGATTCTAATAGATCTCAGCCTCCTAAAAGATTGGCAGCTTTCCAGTTGCAGATTTAATTGACTTTGCTTTTGTGGCTAAATTTATAAAACTAATGCAAACCTTTTTTATAACAAAATATAATGGAAACATTTTCCAACTCATGTGTTTATTGTCTTTACATTAATACAAACTGTACTTGTGTGAAGTTCATATAAAGAAGGGGAAGTGTGTAGTAGGGGTGAATCATGGATGTGAAAATGTGACTCTTCTCTGTTACCACAGCACCCTCCAGCAGGAAACCCGGAGACCCCCTTGTCATTTCAGATATCAAGAAAGGCAGTGTGGCACACAGGTAAGAAAAGATTTTCTGGTTCATTTCTACCCATTTTCTTTTCTTGTTGTTGTTCTTAGACTTAGGGGTGCTTGGGATTACTCCAAGCTCAGAGCTTCGGCAGATCCATATGATATTGGAGATTGAATCCAGGCCTGCAGCTTGTGGGGCATGCATTCAGCCCACTAGGCTATCTCTCTGTTCCCACAATATTGTGTCTTGATTAAATGATCCCTTCAATACCCAGGGCAGACCTGTGCATGGTATTCTCAGTATTTTCCCAGATAGCCAGTTTATTATCTGTGACATTCCTAATGTAAGGAGCTTTGTAGACCTCTCCTATTATATCAGTTTATTTCTTCAACCAATAGAGACCAGAACACTAGAAAATATTTTTTAGGTCTGTCTTGCATAGGCTGCCCTTCACTGATCTTCTTTTTACTTTTATTTTTATTTTTTTTTATGGGAGGGGGTGGTGGGTTGTTGTGCTTAGGGCGACTTTTGACTCTGTTCAGAGGTCATTTCTGGCAGTGCTCAGGAAATCACATGTAGTGTCCAGGGATCAAATCACTGTCAGCTATATACAAGGCTACTCTCTCTCCAGCAGCCCTATTACATTTATGCTTCATTTTCATTCATTCATTCATCATCCTGTTATTCGTCGATTGCCTCGAGCAGGCCCCAGTAACGTCTCTTTCATTCTAGCCCTGAGATTATATTCAAGGCTCTTTTAGAAGAATGAGACCCATCATTGTTACTGGTATTTGGCATATTTGGTACGCCACGGGGAGTTTGCCAGACTCTGCCCTGTGGACAGGCTACATTTGATAGCCTGCAAGTTTGTCCAAAGTAGGAATGAGATAAGATGTCATAAAAAGATGTCCTGATAAGATGTCGTGCAGCCGCAAATGCGGCCGCGCGATTCTGGGGGCTGGATTTTATAGTCTCTGAGTCTTGGCCGCTGATGGGATTACACGGCGCCAGGGGGCCAGGTGGTGGGTGTGACCCCCGCCTACTGGAATTTGGAGGATCTGGGTGGAGGATGCTCGACTCCAATCCGAGTAGGCTGGGAGATCTCGGCCCCGGAACCCGCGTGGCTTTGTCCCTCTGCCAGTACCTTCATGTGTGCGGAGAGTGGTCTCAGCATGATGGTGGCTGGTCCTGGAGGTCTTCGGCTGCCGGAGTCCTGGTCGGGGCGGGGAGGAAAGCTCAACCCGCTCCCCTCCAAGGGACCCCAGCGAGGAACAGCCAGGCGCAGGGGCAGGAGACTGCTTCATAATCAGCTAAAACCCAAGTTGGCCCTAATTATGAGAGATACCTCACAGATAAGTAGCTTATGGAGTTCTTTCTTTGGTAGATTACAGAAAGTTCTGAGGAAGTAGCATTCTTTTTTCTTTTTTTTGGGTAAGTAACATTCTTGAACATTGAACGATATTCATAGCCCTTATTTGATCCATCAAAATCAAGGAGTCACAAACAATTTATAATATTGGCCATATATATATATATACATATATATATGTTTTTTTGGGTCACACCCAGTGATGCTCAGAGGTTACTCCTCGATCTGCACTCAGGAATTACTCCTGGCAGTGCTTGGGGGACTATATGGGATGCCAGGGATTGAACCCAGGTTTTCCACTTACAAGACAAACACCCTACCCGCTGTACTATCTCTCCGACTCAGATCAAAAATATTTTTAAGTGATTGGGGAATGCTGGGGATAGTACAGGCACTTGCCTTGATTGTGACTGACCCCCAGTTTGAATCCCCAGAACCACATATTGTCCCCCAAGCACTGCCAAGAATTACCCCTGAGCAGAGCCAGGAGTAAGCCCTGAACAGCCCCAGATGTTGCCCCACCTCCAGAAGGAAGAAAGGAAAGAAGGACAAGGGAAGAGAAGATAAAGAAAAGGGAATGAAGGAAGAATAAGGAAAAAAGAAAGGTTGGGGGTATGGACATGACTGCTAACTTTATTTTTACCTTCCGACTAAGCATCAAAAAAACAAAACAAAGCAAAATAAAAAACCACCCAATTATTAGTACTATCAAATAAGGACATTTTAGGGACTGGAGAGATAGTTAGGGAGTAGCCTTGTGGTAGCCTTGAAGTGAATCCTGGTTCAAATCCCTGGCACCAAATATGGTGCCCTCAGAAGTAACCTGCGGGGGTCACTCCTGAGCACAGAGCCAGGACTAGCCCCTGAGCATTGCAGGCTGTAGCTAGGAGGGGGGGAAAATTCCAAGTCAGGTGGATCAAACAAAATAGGTAAAGGTAAAGGCCCTCCCGTTGTTCGTCGATTTGCTCGAGCGGGCCCAGTAACATCTCCATTGGAGACTTTGTTGTTACTGTGTTTGGCATATCGAATACGTCACGGGGAGCTTGCCGTGCGGGCGAGATACTCTCGGTAGCTTGCCGGGCTCTCCGAGAGGGGCGGAGGAATCGAACTCGGGTCGGCCATGTTGGCTGCGTGCAAGGCAAACTCCCTACTGCTGTGCTATTGCTCTAGCCCTACAAACAAAATAGATGTTCAGCATTTAACAGCCAGGACATAGGCCTGCAGTCTGGGCCCAGGACGCAGCTTTCCCATTCTCTCCAGGTACTCCAGTTTTTACAATCTTCTAACCACAGGGGCATGAGCCTGGCGCAGAGAGTTTGGGACATGCATCCCTAAGAGGTGCCCCAGAAGAAGGCTAGGAAGAATAGATGCTGGGAAGCAACAGTATCCAGTATCTATCTATCTGAAATAAAAAATAGATAGTTCTTACCAAGATGTAGCCTTCCTTACAGATGTCTCTCTGTGTTTATGCACAAACCCATGTTTTTATTATTTTCTTATTTCATAATGGACCTTTAAAGCTTTCCCTGGGGCTGAGGAGGTGGATCTACTGATAGAACACCTGGCTCGCATTTCTAAAGCCCAGAGCTCCGTTCTCAGCTCCTCATGCCCTGCTCAACCCACCCCCTGCCACTGTAGCCCTTCCTGGTACCACCGCAGCTGGACACTGCACCTCCAGGCTCAGACCACCTGACCCAAGCTGGGAGTGTCCCCTATTTAAAAAAAAACTAAAAAGTAGTTGACCACATTGATCATGGGTGGCGTTAAACTACATACTATCTAGTTCACTTTTTCCCCCTGTGCAGTGAGTTTCCAGGTGCCGGTGGTCATAGCAAACATGCAAGCAGTCAGAGGTCTCACCAGGTCCATCACCCCCTGACTGCCCTCACTCTACCTCAGCCCTGTCTTAGGATATGGACTGCCAGAGACCAAAAGGGAAGCAGAAAGGGGAGAAACTTGCAAAGCACCAGGTCTTGTGTATGGGTATGGTTTAACTTAGGCTCAGGACACCATCTCTATAGCTCGTGATCTGTCTTCCTAGGAACCTTAAATCTTCTAGCAAAAAATTAATATAGATGCTCTTGTTTAATTATAGCATAATAGAAAAAAATTTTAGTGTCTGCAAATTAATGGCACAGCAGTCATATGAAAAAAGCCTGGGGAAAAGGGAATATCAGTAAAATGCAGTTGGGAAGCAGCTGAAGAACTGCTTTTCCTCTAAAGACTTCCATAACCTACATTATGCTTCATGTCCTTGATGGTGTGATTAAGTTGCTCTGCACTTTCTAACAGAACTGGAACCCTGGAACTTGGGGATAAACTGCTTGCAATAGATAACATCCGGCTGGACAACTGTTCCATGGAAGATGCTGTTCAGATTCTCCAACAATGTGAGGACCTGGTGAAGCTCAAAATCCGCAAGGATGAAGATAATTCAGGTATTTCAAGCCTCCTTAGTTAAGATTGTATCCTTTAAAAGCCCATCTGTCACAATAGAGACTCAGTCTTGATGTCTGATGTACAACAGCTGGCTGGTGACACGGTAGTGACATTTTCCATAGTTAAAAGTATTTTAAAATTGTGTTTGTGGCATAGATGAATTTCAAATGAAGATATTTTCATGATATAAATATCATAGCTGCCTTAAGACAATTTTAGGGATAAAAACAAAATTACCAATACCAGCCTAATATAATGGAACTAGACATGTTCTAGTTGAAATTATAGTATAAAATTTAAATCGCAGTGGTTCTTAGTTTTTTGCTTACCTTAGCAAACACTTTGCCATTCTACATGTCCTTATTCTCTGTTACTTTTATGCACTGTGTCATTTATTTATCATTCTTCTCATTAGGATTGCTTCAGTTGTTTCATTATTATAGAAAATACAATCATGGATATCTTTATGAAAGATTCAACTTTCTCCTTTTGAATTATTTCTGTAGGAAATAGTCCTAGAAGTAGAATTGCTGGGTGAGAATATAAAGGACTCTAGAATATAGAAAGGAAGACAGAGAGGAAAAGAAATTGAGTGGGAGTGACAAGAAGTGGATGGGTAATAAATCACTGTCACTGTCCTCCCGTTGCTCATCAGTTTGCTTGAGTGGGCCCAGTAACGTCTCCATTGTGAGACTTGTTGTTACTGTATTTGACATATCAACTATGTCACAGGTAGCTTACCAGGCTTTGCCGTGCTGGCAAGATACTCTCAGTAGCTTGCCGGGCTCTCCAAGAGGGGTGGAGAAATTGAACCCAGGTCGGTCGGGTCAGCCGCATGCAAGGCAAACACCCTACTGCTGTGCTATAAGTATATCAGTGGTGATGAGGAGTAATATAGCTAATACCACCAAACCAAGAATCAACAACACCAAAAGCATGAGATCCAAAGCCCAACAACCAAATTAGAATTGTGCCTTTCAAGAAGGCAGGCTGGAAGAGGGCAGAAGCTGGGGGCGGTGGAGAGTGGGAGGGAGTGGAGAGATCTGGGCACACTGGTGGTGGGACTGGAGCCAGAACACTGTATGCCTGAAACTTAACTATGAATAACTTTGTAAATCACTTATATTTTTAACTTTAAAAAAATTGTAAAGGCCATGTGTAGGATTCCTGAAGAGTTGTGTATCATGTTTCTTTCTACAAGGAATGGATTCATCTTTAGTGTCTCCAGCAATGCACAAATTCAGTGGTGCGTTGCTTCTCAAACTTTCATAGGCCTCAGACTCATTTGAGAATTGCTAAAACCCAGTTTCTGGGCACACTCTGAGCTGTATTAGGGCTGCTCTGAATAGAGTATTTTAAATTTATTTTTATAGTGTAGTTCACTTGGTTACAATGGTCTTGACATTTATGATTTTGATGTATAGAATTCCTGCACTTCACTACCACTGAAGTGGCCAAGACCCTCTGATTGTCCTTATGTTACTTCTAGTCCACATTGCCCTTCCCTTCCACCCCAAATGATCCCAACCCCAGGAAGTAGGGGTTGCTGGGTCAGAATATAAAGAATATAAATAGATATATTTATAAAGAATATAAATAAATAGTATAAAGAGATACTCTTTCTAACAAACATTCTTGGAAAGCTTTCAATAAAAAAATAAATCTAAAGATTAAGTCTTGAGCAGCAGACTAAATACAGACACTCTTTCATCTTTTATCTGGTTATAAAATAACCAGGAGCAAAAGCAAAAAAACACATTAATTGAAAGACTCAACTTTAATAATTATTGAAACATGTGTATATATAGTTACATATTTAACACAAGTGCTTAAAATATTTCCAATCTTGTGTTTGAAACCAAGGTCTCATACTGTTCTGCTGATTATAATTACAAATTTTTATTTATATTTTTCTAAACCATATGCATTATACAAATTTTATGGCTTCCAATTTGGTTATTTTTTCAATACAGTGGGAACTGAAAGAATTTAAGACTATCTGAATGCTTACTTCATCTAGAATTTTATTTCCTCCAGTGTGTTCAAGTTTTTTCTCTAATTAGCAGTATTTTGTTAAATGACCCTTCTTTATTAAATCTTCCCAAAGCATTTCATTTTATTTTTACAGATCCACTATCATAGGTTATGTAAATTTGTTAAATTACACATTTACAATACCAAGTAAAGCTGGCATAAACAGGCTTGGGAATAAACATAATTGATTCTAAAATTGCATAGCCCTAGGAGTACCAGCAGCAGAGATGCTAGAAAGAAACATGTTCTTCTGGAGCATTCCACTGTATTGGTCATGATATTTTGCAATAAGAGTGGAAGGCTCAAATTAATCTTGTAACTTGGTTCATTGGAATTTGGTTGAGAGCTTGAGCAGCTCATTATTTCCTCCCAATAAGTAATGAGTTGTTAGTATTATGGAATCCTCAGTAACCAAATCATCTAATTCTCGAGAGCATGGTCTTCTCAGGTCATTTGTTCATGATTTCTTTTCAATGCCAAAACAAGTTTGCTGTTCTAGCCAGCAGAACACCTGGTAAGAATGATTATATCGAAATATGTGTATATTTGCAATCATATATATGCAATCATTATTTTTAAATTTTTAAAATTTTTTGGTTTGGGGGCCCACCTGGCAATGATCTGGGGTTATTCATGGCTCCGCACTTAGGAATTACTCCTGGTTGTGCTGGGGGGACCACATGGGATGCCAGGGATTGAACCCAGGTTAGCAGTGTGCAAGGCAAGCACCCTACAATAAATTCTTTGGCCTCTCATCATTATTTTCTAAGTAATTGAGTTTTTGATACCTCATTTACATTCCTCCCCTTACATCCATGCTTCATTCACACTTTCTTTGGGGGATAAGGGATAAATCCCCCAACCCCCTCCTGGGATGTGTCCTAATGAAGAGACAAAGCCCTGTGGAGGCACCATTTTGCCTGATTTGTCCAGCTAAGCAACTCTTGCTACCTTCCTTGCAGAGCAAGGGAGAAAAGTTAAGCCATCATCTCTGGCTCCTAGCTGGCGGTGTTCCAGCTGTGGCAGACACAGACTTTGTAGAGGAGGTTTGGAAACAACAGCTGATTCCTGGAGAGCTCATTCTGGCTTCCAGTCTCTGCCTTCCTTGGGTTTATTTTCCAGCTTTACTCCTACCCACCACAGTCCCTCTGCCTAGTACTATGGTAGCTATCCATACTATTAAGGTATTATTGTTGGAGATATTCATAATGATGATAAAAATTTCTTTTCCTTATTTAATTTTTAAGGGTAATGTTAAATCCTAAATCATTTCATTGAAGACTACAACATATCCACAAGCAAGACTGTCAGTATAGATTTAAGGAAAATATTTACCCCAACCAGATTTTTTTCAAACTAGTATACTAGTTAAAAGTTATGCTTGTTCAGACATGTTTGTATCAATAGACAACCTGAAAATTATCATCTGCTTATTGATCTGGTAAAACTTAAATGATCACATATTCTACCCTTTCCCCATATGAATATACAAACATAATTGAAGTAACTAAATTGGTTTTTTTCTTTTAGTTTGGGGACCACATCCAGGTGTTCTTAGCTGTGGTCAGGGTGCCATGTTGGTGGCTGAATCCAAACCTCCCATATGCAAAGCATATGCTCAACCCTTTGACCTATTTTTGGGGCCCTGATTCTTTTTCAGAGAGGAACAAAGAAGAAAACTGTTCAGCATATAAAATATCTTTATAGATGAATACAAAATGAGCAGTCTTTAAGAGTATATTAAAATCATGCATAATTTTAAAAGAGAGCCCTCTCACATTTGAGCTGTGAGTTTGAGCAAGTTCTTTAATCTGTCTGAAATTAAGCTCCATTTTTAGTATTAAATTCATAATCTAACTCTGGAAGCTGCCATAATTTTTTGAAAGAGATATTTACTGGCACAATCTAGATTCAATAAGTGGGAACTATTTTTATTTTTATTACTATTGCATTCTGGGATACTTCCCCTCCCCCTTTTCCAATCTTTCATCAAAGATTTTCGATAATTGTACTCATCTGAATCAGACTGGCAATGTGAGTGGTTGTCATCCTTGGTCTTAATATTTCAAAATGATAGTGTTCCATGTGGATTCCCTACTCCTTGAAATATAGCTCATACTACTACTGTTCTTCCATAATGTACTCAAGGGATTTTCTAGTTCTTTTATTAACTACCTGATCTTCTCCATCTTTGATTCTTGCATCAAATGCAGAAAGTTTATAAGCAACCATTCTCGATAGAATTTGGTTTCTAACTGAGCCATACTGAAGTTGGGTTTAACAGATGCTGCTTTAAAATGGACTCATCTCTTCCAGGCATCTCTTCCAGGCGTATTTGTTTCATTGTTCTGCCATGTAACTTACCCAAAGAGATACTAGAACTATCTTCAAAGCTTATTAGTCTTTGTTTTTCACTGAACTGTACAATCAGTATTTATTTAGTGTCCATAAAGTGCTAGGAACTGTGCTAATGATTGCCAGTTCTTAGGTTCAAAAGGACACTGAGTGTACTCAAACTAAAAATCAATCACGACCCTATGAGAGAAACAAGAAAATGAATAATTCACATTCCATGGAAATGCACAAAATTCTCTTAAGAATGTGGGATTGGTTTGGAGCCTGGCAAGTTCAAGGAAATGCTTCTAAACTATCTTGATCTTGATCTTGGAAGTATTTGGAAGGTGGTGTTAGAATCCATCAGAGAAAGTGCATGAGCTAGTATCATGAGGTTAGAGAGCGTGGCATATCCCAGTAGGCAAGACAGCTAAGGCACAGACTATGTATCAGGACTCAGTTATAAATGAGCAGAAAGTACACTGAAGCCGATCATTGTGGTCCTTTAAAACCATATCAATTTTTAATTTTACTTCTTTCCTTTCCATTGTACTTTACATAATATAGTTGCAGTCATGTTAACCTTCACCACCACTACTGTGGCCAAGAGCCGCCACCATTGTGTATGTAT